AAATGTCCCACTTCTCCAGAGTTGATCACTTCTTTAGAGTCTGAACAGACAGAGATAAGATCAGGTCCATGTTAAAAAGTATCCAGAACTGGAGACCAATTGCCAGTGTAAACCCAGTTTGTGGTGTTCATGGCAATTGTTATGTCTGGTTACTCTGACACTTTGACCCGAAAAGTGACGCGACCCAGAAATTTGTCTCGCTCATCATCATTGCGGAGGTTAGAACCCTCAACTTTACACTCCACCGTCTGCTCGATGTTATAGTCTTCTTTTGTGAACAATAACTTGACTGCAACAAGCGGTTGCACGTAGTCAGGCTGTAAACGGAGAGAGAGGTTGTTAGCTGTAGCTCATAGCCATCTTCTTGGCTTAACCTCATCTAACTGGAGTCTTCTGCAGCCTTTGCCAGCAATTTTATTGAAGTTATCCAACTAAAAATATGGCTGTTGTGTAGTTAATTGTACTGGCAGACCAATCCAAGAAGTCTGAGCTCCAGTTTTCCTGAGTGGTGAACTGTATGGGAGAGAATTATTCAGCTAAATAACACCTTCAACTTACAAACCCAGTCTTGAAAACTGGCCAAAAGGATAACTTCAATCTTCGGCATAAAGCTGGAAAACTGAACATGAATAACACTATGCATGCCTGCCACCTCTGCTGAGAAAGCCATGTACTTAGTAAATCAGAACTCAAAGAAAGTTTGGGAGGGTTAGGTTGCAGACAGCCTACAAAGACTTCATCATCTACTGCATAAATTAAGGACCAGACCAAATTGTGTTATTTGCTACTCGCTCCCAAACCATAAGATAAGATAACCCATAACTTTCTGAATGAATTTCTTTAATTACTTCTTCCAAACCATCAACATGTTTTTTAGACTGCACAAAGAAGTCCTACCATTAGTTAATCCTTCAATCTTAAATATGATCATCCCATCTCTATTAATGGGCTACATACTACAGGCCTAAAAGCTGCCAGTAATCTATCACTTCACCCAGCTCACCAACCTTTATATTATCTCAAAAATTCTTGACAGAGTATTTGTGAAACAGCTAACTTTGATAGAGTATTTGTGAAACAGCTAACTGATCAGAAACCCTTTCTTTTAGTTTCTATCACGGTTCAGAACTTTCAGTACAGAAACAGTATAGTCACTGTTACAAATGATGTTTTTGCCTATGGCAGTGGAGTCAACTGTGTGCTTGTCCTGCTAGAGTGCAGTGCAGCATTCGATACAATTTACCATAGTATTTTACATTCTTACAACAATTAGAGCATGCTTTAGGTATGAAACCAACTGTGCTGCAGTGGTTTGTTAATTCATATCTAATGGCCTTTCTTCATTGGCTCCCTATTAAATCCAGAATTGAATTTAAACTCCTTCTCATATGCTCAGTCGTGAATAATTAAGCCTGATCTCATCTTAAAGACTTCACAGTAGCGCATCACCCAAATACAGTACTTTGCTATCACTCTGGGAACCACAAGTACAATGGGAGCCAGAGCCTTCAGGTTTCAGACCCCTCTGTGTCTGCTGCCATAGGCCAAGGCTGCTAGGGGCTTCCCATGATGTATCATTTCTTCACTCACTGTGTTTTTATATACCACTCTGCATTTAATCATTGGTGATTATTAAGTTATGGCATTTGTTATGTCTTCCTCCCACCAACCCCAACCAGTTGCGGCAGATGGCTGCCCAGTTCAATCTCCCTTCAACCGGCCAGTCCCTGTCACCAAGCTGAAATTCCCAGTCTTATCCATCTCCCCCATCATTCCAATAGCCTGGTCATTTATGTTGATCTAGAGATCAATTGCAGTCATTCTAACAGAATGATTGCATTTACCCCTCTTACCCCTCTGCAGCCTCCTCCTTGTAAGCTTGCAGCTCTTGCAGCAAGACACTAAAAAATAATTAATTTTCTCATGAAATGCATTTTAACTCCGTGAGATTTTATTCCTCCCTTCAGCTCAGTCTTGGGTTCTGTTTGAGTGATTATGATAAAAGTTGTCATTGTTGTACTGAAAATTTGTAAACCTTGCCTTAAACTGGAGGCACATTCCATGTAAGGTTCTGGTTTCTTTATTTGGTAAGGAATGTTTACTTCCTGCCCTTTATGGGCTCACCTTTGCTTGTATATGGTGGACCGTTAGAGTTCAGGCTTTTTCACTGCAAATTGGAATTCCTCATGCCTCTTATAGGCATTTCTTCTGAGAACTGACAAATCAATTCGTATAACTGTGTATGGACTTTCTTGGCATTTCAGGCTTTTGCAATGTTGCTAATCCTCAAATGTTTCATACTCCTTTAGGCCATGGTAAGATTG